GCCCGTTCAGGTCAGTCCGGTCGGCCACCATCCTCCCGAAATCGGAGGGCGATGGAATGCGGACGCTCTTCGCTTCGTGCAGGCCCTCGTCCGCCTCCGCTTTTACCGCGCCCCGCCTGCATTGCGCAGCGCAGCGGGAACGGCCTGGACGTGGCGGTGGTGGTGCCAACTGTCAGTGGCATTGCAGCAAGCCGTGGCCAGCACTGCTCTGGGACAGGCGTGGCCTGCCCCCTTGTAGCCACGCCAGCCGGACGGCCCAGACTTGGACCGCGTCCTGGACCTGGCGGACCCGGCTGGACGCAGTCGCTTGCCGACCCGCTGACGGGCAGTAGACCGGTAGATCGTTGTAAGGTGGTCGCGGCTTGAGACCGCTGCAACAGCGAGGAAAAGTCAGTGGAAAAAAAATTGCCTTGAGGCGCCGCTTGCGTTTGCCCTGCCCGTATATGCTCCAGCCGCTGCCAACCCAGGATGCGGTGTCGCCATGGACCCTTGCGGAGACCATGCCCTCGCTTGCCCGAAAACAGGCTTGTTGGCCAGACGCGCCAAAGTGCCGAAGGTCAGGTCGTGCCGCAGCAATGGCTCGCCCAGACGACCGCAGAAGGCGTCCCAGCCGATGATCGTCGCCGCCTTGACCTCGTCGTTTTCGGGGCCACCGCCAGCGGAGGAGCGCTGTGCTGCGACGCAACACTTGTGTCCTCCCTTACAAGAACGGGTCACCCGCATCCATGCACCGTGGAACAATATGGTACAATCCAGTCGTACGTGCAGTTAGATGTGTGGTTTCGTCACCATGCTATGACGCCACATCATGATCACATATATGTGGCCCTCCCATGCAAATGCCACGTCAGCAAAGTTGCAGCCACTCCCCATGTAGACGCTCGATTTGGAAAAGCAGCTGCCTTAGAGACACGTCAATGAAATCACAACACATCAAAACCAACTAACAAGGGCAAACGATGACCGTGGCATCGATGCCGAGCTGTGCTCCGTGCCAAACAAGAAAGGACATTGCATACGACATCGCTCCGCCCTGCGTTGCGACGGCACATCAATGTCAATGTTCATGTTGGCGATGCGATTTTTTTTCGTGCTCGAAAGTGCCTCAGCTACGTTGGTCTTACTACAATGCCGGCGCACGGTCCCGATTTAGGGCCGCAAAGGCAAACGGCTGGGCCCTTCGTTGGTGGATGTTGGTGGCGAGGTCGAGCACACGCCATGATCGTTGTTTGAAACAGCCCCGCAATAGCACTTGATGCGGTTCAGTTGTGTCGTGCCAACGTGTACATTCCGGCCTTGCCAATTGGCTTTGCTTCTCATCTTGTTAGCTCGACTCGTGCGGCTCGGCCCCGGCGAAAGCGATCTCCACTGCAGCATGCTGCGGCGTTTGAGCAAGATTGCGACCGGCTAGCGGCAACAAGCGAGGCAGGGTCGCTACAAGGCTAAAACAACAGAAGTTCAAACGAACACACAAAAAGGACGACACGATGATTGATATAAAAATCGAAAGCGCAAACGATGACGAGTTCCATTGGGGGTGGCGCATCAAGGTCGTCGCCTACGGTCTGCAATCCCGTGCGCTTGAAACCCTCGTTGCTTGGATCTCGCGCTGGTCTGGGCTGTTGGCCGTCGCCTCCCAGAGCTCCTACGTGGAGCTGAGGCCGGCGGCCGAGCTTGGCGGCCGAGCTCGGCGGCCGAGCTCGGCGACGGACTTCTGCCAGAGCTGCACGAGGTCTTCGCCTCCCGTCATGACTGGCCGCCACTTGTAAGCCGTGGGACCACCCCTGCAGACGTGAAAAAGTGCGGGGCGAAGACCGGTGTGTGCGATCCTTACGAAGCCTACACTGACGGGCACTGCGTATGTTGAACCAAAACACGCGTATGGAATGCTGCCGTCGAGGAACCTCTGCCGCCCGACTCACCGTCAGCCGCCTTCGAACCCGCAGCGTCGTGGACCGCCTGCTGGAATCCCTCGGGCCCCTGCAGCTGGCCGAGTGCCTTGGGTGCTTGCCGCTATTCAGGCAGCTGCCTTCCGACGCGGCGGAGGCGCCCATGTCGCTATTGCGGAGGAGGCCATACCGGGTCTAGCCGACTCGCGCTCCCGTGGCGACGAGCCGGCCGATTTTTTGCGAGTGTGGCAATGGCCTTCAATGGCCTTCGTGCGCTAGGGTGTTGGATGCGTGCGGCGACCACCGTTCCGCTTCTGCCACGTCAGGTGTGCTCGCCTCCCGTGCCGGTCCGGTTGAGCGAGCTATCGCATGGGTCTGCCATGGAGGCCGGAGCTCAGTGCAACGTGTTCCTGTCGGCGATGAACCCGATCCACGATGCCGGCGTATTGAGGTCGTCTGCAACGGCCT